CTGCTCAGCCCAGCCCGCCGCGATGGGCTCCGGGTGCGGTGTGCGCCCACCGGGCTGCAGGCGGCGGCCGCGGGAAGCATCGTCCCGCTGCTCTTCCCGCTGTAGATCCCTCGGGATCTGCAAAGATGATGAAGGGCTGGAGCATCTTTTTGATGGAGAGAGCTGGGAGCTTGGGCCTGGTCAGTCTGGAGAAAGGAATCCATCGATCCATACAAATCCACTCCAGGGAGTGTCAGAGGATGGTTCCAGACTGTTTTTAGTGATGCTCAGCAGCAGGACAAGGAGCCGTGGCCATACACTAAAATAAAAATTCCGCTTCAGCGTGGGGAACCCTCCTCTTTCCAGGAAGGGTGGCAGAGCACTGGAACAGCTGCCCAGGGAGATGGTGGGATCTCCCTCTCTGGACACACTCCAGACCCACCTGGATGCATTCCTGTGTCACTTGCTCCAGGGGACCCCGCCTTGCCAAGGGGCTTGGACTGGATGATCTCCAGATCCCTCCCAATTTGTAACGGTTCTGGGATTCTGGGATCAATCCCACCACGATGTGCTGCTCCCGAAGCCAGATTATCCACCTGGACCGTGGAGCTCAGCAGCTGTAAGCTGGATCTCTGGGCGCTAAGAGGGACTTATCCTCGGAATCTCAGTGCTGGTTGCTGAGTTATTAAAGCCCCGTGTGGCTCAGGTGTGGGGCTGCAGAGCATCCCTGGAGCTGTGCTTGGTTCTCCGTGCCGGGATGTCCGTCGGTGGCTGGCCCCAGGGGAGTGCCTGCTGCAGAGTCACTCTGGCATGGAGCAACAGCCGTGGTGTTGTTCTCAGCCAGGAACGGGCAGGAGTTGAGGTGCAGTGGATTCCAGCAGCCCTTGCCCAGCCCTGCTGCTGTGGGAGCTGCTGGAAGCCGCGGGTGTGAACTGTTCTTTCCACAGGAACAGGATGGGCATGGGGGACTCCAACCCGGCAGCGGTCCCACACGCCGCCGAGGACATTCAGGGGGATGACAGGTGGATGTCACAGGTAAGGCTGGCAGGTGGATCCTTGTTACTGGGGGGATTTGGGCCAGTGCTGCCCAGGACCCTGAGGTCACAATAGCCTGGAGCTGGCAGCTGAGGAGGGATCCTCACAGTGTTGTGGGGTTGGGAGCAGCTTAGGGGTTAATGCAGGCAAGGGTGCTGGAGGCCATGGCAGCAGGGGGAACAGGTTGGGCAGCTGTCCCTGTCCTGCAGCAGGGACGGATGCCCAGGAGCAGTTGTCACCTGGAGCTCACCTTGCTGCTCTCTCTGACAGCACAATCGGTTTGTCCTGGACTGCAAAGACAAGGAGCCCGACGTGCTCTTCGTGGGGGACTCCATGGTGCAGTTGCTCCAGCAGTATGAGGTAGGGATAACGGGAGGGAGGGATGGATTAGAGCAATTGGAGCATCTCTCTCTAACCCAGAGGTGGCTGGTCACGTGTAACACTGACGATTTCCACTGTTCCCGTTTTTCCTGCCATCTCCTGGGGCGTTCCTGCCCTGCTTCCTGAGCTCCCCAGTGCCTGGACACTGCTTTACCTGGCTGCTTTTGCCTCCCTCTCTGAGGCCCGAACAAGGGCCTGCATTTTGGCACGCGTTTCGAATTCCAGCCTCCTGAGGCCCGTTGAATTCCCTGAGCACAATTAGCCCTGTAGAATTCAGGGTGCCAGAGGCATTGGTTTACTGGTTCTTCCCTAAAATTATTGAGGGAAAGAAGAGTTCTCTTCTGCTGTGGTGGCAGCTGAGCAGCTGTGTTCTGCAAGAGCTGCTTCCCTTTGTTCTAGTTCTGTTACCTAGGGACGAGAAGGATTTAATCAGGTCACAGATTACTTTTTCAAAGGCCCTGTGCTTAGGGACACCATGGTCTGCAACAGATCAGCACTCTGGGGCTCTGATGAGTTCAGCAAATCACTGCTCCAGAGATCTTTCCTTCCTTTGTGCCAGGTCTGAGAGCTTGAACCTCAGCAGCTCCATCTCTTCTGACTCCAAATAAAACCTCAGGCCTTGTGTAAATGCCCTTTGTGGAGCGAGTTTTCAGAGGAGGGCTCCTGGCTGCTCTCAGTGACCTTGAGGACACAGTGTGGTGTCTCTGCTGCACAGCCAGGGTACTGCTCTGAAGCAGCACATGGGTTTCTGCTTGCAGATATGGCGAGAGCTCTTCTCACCGCTCCATGCACTGAATTTTGGGATTGGTGGAGACACCACGGGACACGTTCTATGGAGACTGAAGAACGGGGAACTGGAGAACATTAAACCCAAGGTATGAACTGCAGGGTTAGTGAGGGTATCCAGGTGGACAGTGAAGGTAACCTGCAGCTGCAGGCCTGGCACAAGTGCCTTCCCTGAGGGCAGTGGGCAGTGCCAGCCCCAGGCACTCTTAAGCCCGACTCTCCCTGCAGCTCTCTGGCCACAGATGATGTTTATGAAGGGATTTCAGGGTCATCAGCCCTGTTACACTCTCTCTGGAAAAGCTGCAAACATTTTTCTCTCCTTGCAGGTCATTGTTGTTTGGGTTGGAACAAATAACCATGAAAACACAGCAGAAGAAGTCGCAGGGGGAATCGAGGCCATCGTGCGCCTGATAAACACCCAGCAGCCACAGGCCAAAGTGATTGTGCTGGTACGTCCCTGCTCCCTGGGCTGTGCCTCTGCCATACTGGGAGTCACTGGGCGGTGCTGGGAGGGCTGTCCCTTCATCTGCCCTCTGCTTTGTGCCTCCCCTCGCTGGCTTGGCTCTGCAGGAGCCCTCCTTTAGCCCTTCCAGAGCTGGGGGGACTCACTCCAGTGACTATCCCGCTTACTAATGTTGCTGAGGAAGTCCTGTGAGGGGAAAATAGGTGCCCAAATTCCAGCTGGCATTGGGAATCCTAGCTGGCTTCCTTGTCCTAAGGAAGCTGCTGCCTGTCTTGCTGAGGAGCTGAAAGCGTATGGAAAGAGCACAAGCTGACGCATTTGGAAAACAAAAGAAAGCAATTTCTGTGCCAGTCAGTGCTTGTAGCTCATCTGGCTCCTTCACTTGCATTTCACATTAGGCCTGAATGGACAAATTCTGATTCAAGGGATAGTTCCTCTTGTCACAGACATCCTAAATCTTGACAGGCAGCCCGAATTGGAAGGGAAAGCAGGGCTGCTGATGCCATCAGAGTCACACAAAGCTCTTTTCTGCTCCCACTCCTGCCAGGGCCTGCTACCTCGTGGAGAGAAGCCAAACCCGCTGCGGCAGAAGAACGCCAAGGTGAACCATCTGCTGAAAGCCTCGCTCCCCAAACTGCCCAACGTGCAGCTGCTGGACGTGGACGTGGGCTTCGTGCACTCGGATGGCACCATCTCCTACCACGACATGTTCGACTTCCTGCACCTGACGGGCGGGGGCTACGCCAAGGTCTGCAAGCCCCTCCACGAACTGATCATGCAGCTGCTGGAGGAGACCCCCGAGGAGAAACGAGCTGCCCTGGCCTGAGTCGCTGCTGTCAGCGTGGAGAGCATCATCCAGCCCATCAGATCAGTTCTGTCACTGGCACTACAGAATCCTTCTTTCTTAAAGCACTTTCCATTGTAGAATGATACCGGATGTCCGTACCTAGTGTTTTGAGGGGGAAGGCTCATGTTTAACTGGTCTTGTACATACGAGGGCCGGCTGGGTTGGTTTTATTGCAGGAGGAAATTAGCTGAAGAAGAGTTTTACTTTTAAACCATTCCTCATTTAAAACGAGAACAGGACTGTCACTCTGTGCCCCTCTCATGTCTTGTTGCCCTGTGGTTGTCCTAGACCCCTCGTAGCCTGTCTGACAGCCCGCTCCTGGCTCACCGTTCCTGGCTGCAGCCATCGTGCTCTGTGTATTTGCCTGGGAACAAGAATCACATTCCACTTGCAAAAGCCAGAACAGATGCATTTTTCCAAACTCGGTTCCACCTTTTAGGCGGTTTTGGGTTTTTTGTTTGGGGTTTTTTTTTGTTTGTTTGTTTGTTGTTTGTTTGTTTTACCCATGGGGGGTTAAATGACACGTGTTGCTTTCTCACTCATTTCTGAAGCAGGTCGAAACTGGAATTCAGAAATTTAAAGAAGCAAACAGTTACCTGAACTCATGTAACACTCCCCAGTGCTTGTCTCGTGCTCGTTTCCCCAGTCCTGCTAGCAGGGGCACCTTCCCTCCCACGCAGCTCTCCCAGGGGCACTTCCCTTCCTCCCACACAGCTGTCCTGGGAACGTTCCCATTTGGGTGCTGCTGCTGGCCCCTGCTCCTGCTGCCCGTGATGTTGCTGGCTTTTAGCAGTTGCTCAGTGTAGGATTTTAATGATCCAGTAATTGGCAGTCACTTCCTCTCTCCTCTGGAACTGACAGACATGCCTCTGAGGTGCCCGGGCTCTTTGCAGTTTTTTTTTCTATTTTTTTATTACATATGACTGTTACATCCTTTTTTTTTTCTAAAGCAAACCCACATGAAGAGCCCCTGGCTGCAAGGCCTAAATCACTCTGAAGCTTTACAGATTTCAAGGTGTATATTTCCTTATCACTACTGGTTTACTTGTATAAACATTTTATTTGAGCAACTACAGCCTCTTAGAGTAAAAAGTGAAGTTAAGACCTAGATTCTTCTGCCCTGGACACTGCTCCTCACCTCTAGCAAGGGAGCCAGAGGGGCAGGTGCCCTCCTAAAGGGCTGTGGCTCAGTGGGGTTTTGGTTTGGTTTGTAGTTCAGAGGGCTGGTTGTAGTGAAACAACTTTTCATTTAAAACTGAGAGCTTCTCTTCCAGAAATAAATGGTTTGGACCCGAGAGGCAGAGCCCTAGATGAATTGATAACTTGAAAATAACCTATTTCAAACCAAGTCTGTTCCTCCCTGCCTTACCTGCTGGAGCTGGAGCTCAGTGATTCCACTGAGCTCCTGGGTTTTTGCTTCCCGCAGGATTCCAGGCAGGTAAACCTGGGAGGAACAGAGAGCTTCACTCCGTGCTCCAAGGGAGGGGTGTTCAGGTGTCAGGTGGCTTTGCTGAATGCCATAGGTACTGTACATAGTCTGTCTGCCCTTTGCTGTAGCCAAGGGCTGGTGTGTAACTGACCTAGCGTTGAGGAATCCCCTAACGTCCCACCTCATCCCCCTCCTCCCGTAGATTTGATCATAGCAGGATTCCTGCCTGGATTGCATGCATAGTGTGTGTTTTGTTTCCAGTATATGTGATCTACACACAGATGAAGGAAAGGTGAAGCGTTCCCCTGGCCAGGATCAGATGCAGAGTGCCATGGGAGAGGAGGGATCCCATCCTACCCCCGTGATCCAGAGCAGGGGTGCTGCTCCCTGGAGCTCCATGGCCTTGCAGGGCAGGCTTTGAGGGAACACTGCTCACGCTTCCCATAAGCTTCTGGCTGGAAATATTGGGGAAGGGCAAGTGGAAAATCAAATCTTAAAAAGTACAGTGCAGTGGAAAGTTCCTGGGGAAGGGCTTATCCCACCTCTAGCCCCCTCAGGGAGCTGGGATAAAACCCATTTTTGCTCCCTGAC